ACAGAACATTCAACGATGATCAGTATTATCACCTAAGCAACTTGTCAACGTGCTCGACGTACAACGACTCTATTAGTCTTGTTGTTTTTCGCTCGACACTAGCACCCACCGTTTCTCAAGTATTACTTCAGATGGCGCTTTGATCAACATAAATAACATTTTTAAGCATAACGTTAAGATATAACTTACAGGATAATATTCCTACATACATCGCGATTGCTGATTTCAAAGTTATAGAGTACTCATCGATTCTGGAGACTGTAAAAAATACGTAAATAGGAAAATAGATTAGGAGCGAAACGCAAAGACACGTATCCCTTTTTTTCGTCCCAAGAATCGGTATTTTCAGTGCATGACGTTTTGGACACCGTGTACCGGTTTTTGTCTGGCTGAATGCATATCCCGAAACAATTGCCGATCGCGCGTTGCACGTGTAGCTGCTGCGCCAGCCTAAGTCACGCCCATGCCCATATTGGGAGTTTGTCAACGAAACCTATGACGCTCGCTCGGGCTATGAAACAATTGCTAAGCGCGGAATTTGTGGGAAGCTATTGCAAAGCAGCAATCTTTGGCATCCGCGAATGAATCCGCGGAAATCCTTCATTCTGATTGGTCGCACTTAAATGCTTCTCATTTAAAAACTATAGCGAATTTTGGCAAACGGTTTGCGGGAGGGTACTCAGGGCACCTCCAGCCATCGCCCACTTTCCGGTCCAAAAGTAGTTCTGGGACACCCTGTATATGTATATATTATATCGATGAATAGTAGCTCGCCGCGTGATGTTGGAGTCAGAAATTGCGGATTTGCTTTGGCTCTTGTTCGATGCACTGTACGTGTTAGCTGCGATGTGCTAAGTAATGAAGATGCTGTGCCTGTTGTTGATACGGTGGCTACAGATGCGATAATAATCGCTGCTCTTGGTTCGGCTGATTTTATGTCTCGTTTCTTTAGGTTTTCCACTACCCGCCGAGCTTTTATTTCTGTTTGGTTCGGTGCATGATTGTGCTCCGCGCGTGTCAACAGAGCCCCTAAAATAAAAATTAAATAACTAAAATGCTTGTATGTTTCAATAAATATATATTTCTCCGCTTACCATCTTTTGTTTCCGTTGTTGTGTATATGAGTGTTGTGCACTTCTTTAATTGATTGTACTGTACACAACACCACGTAACTTTTTGATCTCTGGCACGAATTTTTTGATAAAAGTAGCCGTTGTCCACTAGAAGGAGTTTCCCTTTTTGATTTGTTACAAACTTCAGCGGCATAGTGCGTGTTGTATATCATTTCATTTCGGCTTTAATACTGACCAGAATTAAGAGAGGCATTAATTATCCGCTATTGTAAACGCGTGAGCTTGGCATCTCGGACTGCTTGTTGAAATTTTTTAGTCTCTATTGTATGGGAAGTTATTCAAGTGTTCCTGATTCAAATATAACTTGCAAGCGGAGCCCGCATTCATTAAGTTCTTTAGGTGCTTTTAGATTCTGTAGGTTCTTTTGGGTTCTTGAGGTAGTTAGTTAGGTTGGTTAGTTTGTTCGTGTTATTTAAAGTAATTCATTGAGTAGTTAGTGTTATTTAAAAATGTGTTGTTTTGGCGTTTGTTATTTTTAATCGTGTTATTTTAGTGTATTTTATTTTGTTTTCACGTGCGTCATTTTGGCGTAATATTTTGACGTTGTATCAATGTGACATGGAACCCATTACCATTGACATTTATCATTTACAAACTACCATTCATTGTTGTACTTGTTATCGATAATAAATTTACTTGATTTTATGTTATCATATAATCCTGTGTCGCCTAAGTTCCGAAAATTGCCAGTCCTGAGCACTTACCTACATCCCATTTCGCAAACTCCTAAGGAGCACACGAAATTGCACTTTCGAACAAGTTACAATATTTATTAATTTATGCATTATGCATGAATATGAATATTCAGCGGCATGAAAATTAGTAACGTCCTTTTTATGTGTTTTTACGTTGCCATTCAAAGAGAATTCGTTTTTCTCAGCGTATTATGCTTGGACGCTTTTTTAAGATCCAACCTTTTTAAATTCATATAGTAAATGTTCAGTTATGTAAGGATTAAAAGACTTTGATAGTAAATGCGTGTACATACATTATGTAATTTTTAATTCTTATTTTTCAAGTGGAAGTTTCACACAAAATAAAGTCTTCTAGCTACGAGCAAAAATAAAGAAAACTTGGTCTCCTTTTGAAACAATTTATATTCGCGCTTTCGCAGTATAAGACCCCAACTTTTATTATGCTTCCCAGTCTTTATGGATCCTATAAGATTTTCCATTTGGCTCTCGCCCTTTAGCCAAATACCTTAAAACCTTCGAAGGAACAAACGTAAAGCAACAGCGCCTGGCGAGTCATTTCTCCGAGAAACGAGACGTTAATCAGCCCGACCTCAACTAATCCTCTATAGGTCAAATTCTTTCCCAAGGGAGTTGGATAAAATTAAGACATGGTAATTTTTTAAATCTTACGGAAGAGACTTGAAAAGTGGAACAAGATATTTTGGCTTGAGAAATATTAAAGGTTATAGTATCAAGCGATTTCTTAAACTATCCTTACGAAAAATATATCGATAATATATATAGATATGTCGACGCGAATTATTTTGATTGGTTAATTGTGGAGTGCCAATCCGACGGTACGCTGCCCTGAAG